GGGGAGGGCGGGCGTCCAGGCCTCCGCCGCGCGGCCGGGGCCTCCGGGGCCCGCCGGGCTCAGCATGCCCGGGGTGAAGCTGACCACCCAGGCCTACTGCAAGATGCTGCTGCACGGCGCCAAGTATCCGCACTGCGCCGTCAACGGGCTGCTCGTGGCCGAGAAGCAGAAGCCGCGCAAGGACCACCTGCCGCTCGGCGGCCCGGGCGCGCCGCACACGCTCTTCGTGGACTGCATCCCCCTGTTCCACGGCACGCTGGCCCTGGCGCCCATGCTGGAGGTGGCCCTCACCCTGGTAAGCGCGAGCGGCGTGCGGACCCGTCCCCGCACGCGCCGACCGCCCTGGACGAGTCGAGCCGTCGTTACCTGGCCGGCGGCGGGGTGTTGGGCCGGGGGCGTCCGCGTGGCCCCTCGCACAGCGCGTCCTCGCCTGGCGCAGGTGCGGCGCGGGGGCTTCTGGCGGCGGCCGCTTCTAAAGGCAGCGTCGGGTATCGGGTTTTCTCCGCTCGCCGGTGCCCGAGCTGTGTGCAAGAAGAACTTGCCTGCTCCCTGGAACGGTTGGAACTGATCTCGAGTCCCTCTGTGGTTCTAAAAGCTAAAGAAACTGGGTGGTAGTTGGATTTTAGGCGGTTCGCTTTTTAGTTGTGGGGACCAGTGAATTGGGGCATGTAATAATTCCGCTGTTAATAAAACTTTACGGGGAAGTAACTTGCAGCCTCAAACCTGCCCACCAGAGTAGAGGTGCTGCTTATTTTCCATGTAAGAATAAACTGTAGTGCTGAAAAGTACTAGCTGATTCGTGCGAGAAGGTTTCAGAAGGTGTAGGTAGTAATCCTTTATGCCTTCCACCGAGTAAAATGAATCCATTTCTTAATTGACGTAATTAAAACACCAAGTACATTCTTGGCGAGCAAGTCGTGCCTTTGGGCAGTCTGTCCTAAGGTTGTTGGGTGTCTGTCAGAGTTAAACGGAGTCAGCTTTGAGTGTCTGTCAGAGTTAAACTGAGTCATGACGTGAATTTCTTAATAGCGTTTCTGGGCTGGAGACAGGTAACAAACAAGTAGACAGTATTTATAAAATCAACCATTTTCCTTCCTGAGTTGCTAAGGAAATGGGCTGTCAGGACCTGAAACATCTCTGGGGAACAAGTGCATGTTTTAATCTAGGTCTTTCCAACCAGCTTTCTTAATTGTTCTGTTACTGAGGAGATTGCAGGGTAATTGGATCTCTGAGATGCTTTGACTTGCAAGGAACAAAATTCACCAGTGACTCCCTTCCCGGATATAGTGATAGTAATTGAACCCAGGGAGTGTTGAGCTACAGCCCCAGTCCTTTTTTTATACTTTGAGACTGGGTCTTGCTGAGTTGCCCAGGATGGCTTTGAACATGCCATCCTCCTGCCTCAGCCTCCCAAGCAGCTGGAATTATGCACTTACACCACCAAGTCCTGCCACCACTAGCATTTGTATAAGATTATGCGGTTCTACACTCAGTGTCTCTTAAGTATGTGTTTTGTGCCAGGCGTGAGCTGGAGGAGCCCTGTGGCTGTGACAAACAGTACCTGGCACTTGAATTTGCAGCAGACTGACAAGCCCAGTACTGAAGGATGAATGCCACAGGTGAGGTTACAGTGGCAAGAGATCTGAGAGAAAAGTCTGCCTACCCAGGCTTGGGGAGTCAGGGCCATCAAAGGGGACACGCAAGTGGTGAGGCACCCTGCTGACCTCGGCAGCGAGTGTGGCATGGACGGAGAACTTTCAGGGCAAAGACCAACACGTGCTGACCACGAGGAAACAGTGCCAGAGGGATGAGGGAGAGGATCGAGTGGGCAGGGGCAGAGAGAGGTGGGCAGTGAGTGGGCACACTCCTCTAAGAGGATCACTCAAAGGTGCTGGGGCGCTGTCCTGAGGACAGGGAAGCCCTGCAGGAGAGTTGCATGATGAGGTGTGTGTCTTTATGGGGTGGCACCAGCCTGCAGCACAGAGGAAGTTTGAGTCAGGTGTTCGTTCAAGACTGGAAGCAGGGAGGCAGCTGAACTGAACTTGGTGTGGACGCTGAGCAGGGGAGAGAGAGCCCACAGGCCTCAGACAGCCCAGTGCGGATGTGGGCTGGGAAGCGAGAAGACATCCGGGTTGTTGGCTTTGTCTTAGGAGCACTCTGGTGCCACCCTTGAGGGAACGTGGACAGAGAAACAGTTTTCAGGGGAGGGTGACGCATGTGGAGTTTGGCATAGGTTGAGCTTAAGATGTACCAGTGAAGAAGTTTCCGTAGTAAAAGGAAAAATGAGCCTGGAGCTTAGAGGATAGCTGGGCAGGAGGTGTAGACGGAGAGCCACAGCTCTTGGTTACTTGAGGTCATGACAGTGGATCAGATCACCTAGGGACACTTGGGTGCAAGAAGCCTGACGAAATCCAGCTTTTACAGGACAGGTGGAGGAGAAGGGGCCGCTGAGCAGCAGCTTGAAAAAAAGGAAAATCTCACTTTTTTGGAGAGGGTGGTGACGAGATCAAACCCACAGCTGCATCCCCAGACCTTTTTCTTTCTGTTCTGAGACAAGGTCTTCGCAGTGTCAGCCTGGTCTCAGCCTGGCTGAGATATCGCAGTCCTTCTGCTTCAGCCTCCAGAGTAGCTGGAATTAAGCATGTGCCGCTACACCCAGCTTCTTAAGGGCTTCTCCCAGACACCCTTGAACCTTACTGGGATGTCCAGATCCCTTACATCGTTCTTAATTCACCTTTACAGAGCTAAAGGGTTGTGCTTCTATTTCAGGAAATGAGTGCAGTCCTTGAGAGAATTTAGCATCCACCTTTACGTGAGTTTTCCCCAAAGGCCAGGGGTGCGTCCCAGCCCTTACCTAGAAGGGAAGATGGCCAGAGAGGACCTGGACTCTGCTGAGCCAGGGGCCCCATTCTGACCTTGCTCACCCTGCCCTGTCACACTGCTCCCCACAGGCCTCAGTGTCCAGGCCCCTGGCCAGCACGTGAGGTCTGCACAAGACTTGTGCGGTTACTCCCCTCGTCCGGTTGTCCTACACTTTTTCTCACAGTCACCAAAACCCTGGGTTTCAGCCTCAGTGGAGGACAGGTACGTGACCCAGTACAAATGAAAGAACATTTAGACGAGATGATGGGAAATTTACAATATGACTCAATCCAAAAGTTCTACATTACAGTTCTGCAATTTAAATTTATGTTATTTCCTCTCCCTAATTTTTATTTATATTATAATTAAGATACTAAGTTTATATTATTTGGTTTTGGCTAAGTGACTTTATGACATGAAGGCCCTGCAAAATCTCCAGGTTCTGAGCCATGGTTTATCAGAATATCTCCGTGGAAGATGAATTTTTAACAAAACAGCTAAACCGTGCAGTTGTATAAACGAGGCCTTATTCTTACAGTTCTTTTTTAGTCAGGGAGTTTTGTGTCGGGATTATTCTCGGTAAGTGGGAAGGACTTGCTGTGTAATCCATCAGGGGTAATAGTCAATTCCTTTGAAAAGCTTTTCATTGTAATTTTCCATTTTAAAAACATCATGCATTTCTGTTTTTTTAAGTACTTATGCCTGTTATTTATCCTTATAGCCGTTTGACGTAGGTAGTGAAGGAATTATTGCTAATAGCAAAAACCCATAAAATGGGAGCGGGGAGGCCAGCATAGCCTGCTGTTTCCCTAAGCCCTCTGTGTCCTTTTCCCTCACCTTGATCCCCGCTCTGCTCTGCGCTCCACTTCCCCTCCTGCTGGGCTCCTCACCCTGACTCCCGCCAGCGCTCTTCCTGCTGCCACCATGTGTGCCTGCCTGTCCTCTAACTCCTGTGCCCCCTGCCGCCTGCATCTCCAGGGCGCTGCTCTGCTCTGCATCCTTTTCCTGCTTTCACCCTCCTCCGATCTGTTGACCCCAAAATGGGAGTCCTTTCCTGGCCCAGCCCTTCCGTGTCATGGAGGGATCAGCAGCTGACAGAGAAGGAGCTGTCCTCCATGAAGCTGGTGGTCCCCTGCTTAGCGTAGCAGCAAACTGGGAGGCCCCACAGCCCCCCACCTGGTGGGCTGTCAGGATGAGGAGTGGTCCCTCCTTGAAGTGGCTGTCGTAAGTTACCAGGTCCCAGTGTCACCTAGTCGGTGAGCGCACTCAAAGAATCAGTCACTCACTGCACAGTGGAAGCACTACACAGAGGGCTGGCGGGTCACACAGCTTGAGTTCAGGGAGCAGGGCCAAACTCCAAACTAGAGCTGGGCCCTTTGATGCTAAATGGAGATAAGTTTAGGAAAGTGAAAGTAATTGCTCTAAGCAGCAAGAGGAATTTTCTAGACCCTGTTCCCTTAGGAGGCGATACAAACACAGTAGCATTAGCTTTGGAGTGATTTGCAGCAGAATCACAAGGATGGAGCCTTTGTAAGTATTTGGGGCACATAACCGTAGTTTTTGGGTGGAAGACCAGAGTGCCCGGTTGTTCAGTGAGCCCTGGTTTTGACCCAATATGGTAATTTGTGAGCTCGAAGGAGACCAGAACTATTCCAGTCCTCACATGAGCCAGGGACCTTTGGACCGTCTTGCGATGTCTGCTTTTAGTCACAAAGAAGACAGAGGCCTGAACCAGAATTCAGGACAAAGCAATAGCAAATGTTTTAAGCCCACACTCTTGTTTTCCTTATCCTTTTCAGTGCTGGGGATCAAATCCAGCGCCTCACACATGCAGGGAAAACACCCTACCACTGAGCCACATCCCCAGCCCTGCACACATTTTAACCAGTTAACTCACTGCAAAAAAAAAAAAAAAGATACCAGTTTTGTCTCCTCTTCTGCAGGATGAAAATAGAATTTATTGCAGTGTATTAAAGTCCCATTATAGCAAAACAGGATGACCTTTTGTTGTTTTTAATAATGGCATTAGACCTGCAGGAAGCTAAATCTGATGAGAGAAGAGTGGTATTAAAACAGAGCAAAACTTCCGAAGTCCGCCTCCAGGCTCCCTTTTTGAAGCACAGCAGTAGGGAATCAAGTACGCGTGCGCTTGCACCCTGCCTGCCTGTGCCCGTTCACACACACACACACACGCACACACGCACACCCCGGCCCGGTGTGAGGGCACGTGCCATGGTGTGTTGCTGGAATGCTAGGGGAGAGGGGCTTCCCATGCTGGCTCCGCCCCTACCTGGCTGTGCAACTGAAGAGTTGGGTTAAGTCGGTGATGGTGAACCTTTCAGAGACAAGTGCCCAAACTGCACCCCAAAACCCACCTCTTGGTCACAAAGTGCCGACACTGCAATTAAACTGGAATGTTCGTTCAGCTGCTGGCTCACCTGCCGACAGACAGGCTGTGCGTGCCCACTGCGGCACGCGTGCCCTAGCTTCACCACCACCGGTTTAAGTGATCTTAGGGTTTCTCCAGCCCTAGAATGGCCCAGTGCCCTGTCTCATAAGAGGACTGGGTGAGATGTCTTCCCTCCCTGACTCCTCACGGTTTCATAGCCTGTCAACAAGAGGCTCCCTTTGTTGAGTCCACCACACCCCACGCCCAGCCCCTACGGGGACCTGTGTAGGGGGGACCCTGTCCCTTCTGGGTTTACCTGGCCTGTGTGATTCTGTTTTTCCTCTGAGCACCCAGTTCACTCTCTTTGGTGTGGGGGAAGGGCATGTGGATTTGGGGCCACCAGGCCTCATCCCCGCGTGAGGGAGAGGGGTCTCCTGTGGTTACTGAGCCTCGGTAGTCAAGGGAAAAGCATTCATCTTCCCAATCTGTGTTCCTTTTTCAGATTGACTCATGGTGCAAAGATAATAGCTACGTGATTGCCGGTTACTATCAAGCTAATGAACGAGTGAAGGATGCCAGGTACGTGGAAGCGACCCTTCCTGGGCTGGAAGGATGGCCGCCGGGCGAGGCCGGTCACTGAGGTGCTGGGGACCCTCCTGTGCAGGCTGATTGATGTCCCTCCCCGCCGCGCTGCTGATAGTGTGTGAGGGCGCCGTGTGGGTGACTGTAAGCAACAGAGACGCTGGGCATTTACACTGACTCTGAGATTCTGTGTGGGATTGTCGTTCTGCTGAGAGGAGTTCCTACAGTGAAGGCGGCAGTCAGGGGCCTCACTTTCTGTCCCACCCAGTCTACTCCCTCCAGTCCCGCACCTGGGTGAGAAAGGCAGGGCGTGGCCCTTCGTGGGCTGAGTGAAGTAGTTTCCAGGTGTGGGGCCCTTAGGCCTGATGTCAGCTTGGCTCCCCGCTCCCGTCACCCAGACTGCCCAGCTGGGGCCCTCACACGAGAGCAGAGCTGCAGAGATCACCGCCTTGCCTGTCGGCCTCCACCTCCGCCCCAGGAGAGGACCAGAGACCCACCCAGACCAGGGCAGTTGGTGAAGGTAGTAAGTGGGCTGCTCCTAACGCGGGAGCTGCGGGCAGTGTGCAGGGCCCCCCGCTAGTGACCACTGCCATGCTTGTCCCTCAGCCTCCCAGGGCCAACACAGAAGGAGCCGGGTAAAAAAGTCCTCACAGCCACAGGCGTGGGGGTCACACCTGGCAGTTCCAGCAGTCTGGGAAGCTGAGGCAGGAGGGCCACAAGTTTGAGCCCAGCCTGGTCAATTGAGCAAGATCTGTCTCAAAATAAAAAATTCAATAGGGCCAGGGATGTGGCTCAGTGCCAAAGCCCTGAGTTCCATCCCTAGAACGCCAAAAAAAGTTTACCTCAAGAGGAGCAGTGCCCACGGCTGAGGACACGGCTGGCAGCCAGCCTGTGGGAGCCCCTGGACGGGCCAGCGCCTGACCTCCTCCAGGCCCTCTGGTGTTCTCCGGGGCCTGCCTTTGCCTGAACCCAACTGGAAAGCAGAGGCAGCTGGAAAGTACATACAACACGCAAGCAGGTCCCTCACTGTCAGACGCCAGCCCCCAGCATCCGGGGCTGTGGTGCACAGCGGACCCTGGAGTTAGGCCACTCTCACACGTGGACAGGAGGGCATGCGTGGTGAAGGCACTTCTAGATGCAGTACGCTGGTGGCCGAGCGTGACCGTCACTGATGAGGCACAAAAGCACTTCAGAAACGCCTGTCCTGTGTCTTGAGGACTGGGTCTAGGCCAGAACCTTGCAGGGGCAGGCCGCTGGTGAGATGCTGGGCTCGTGTGACGTCCGCCAGAGCACCTCCTGGGAGGCTCAGAAGTGTCATCTCCCGCGAGCACAGCACAGAACCTGTTCGATTCTGCCTGCTCCATGACGGTGGTCACTCGGAGTCTGCTTGTCGTCCTGAGCAGGAGCCCAGCCTGGGACTGTGCATCGCAGCCTTTGTTACTTGTTACACAGAAGAGATTGACCAGCCATGGACAGCCTGGTGGGCCGGGTTCCACGTGACACAATGCAGGATGCTTCCACCGCACCCTCTGTGGCTGAGCCCAGTGGGAGAGGACTGCAGAGAGAGCCAGGCGCAGGCTGGGAGTCCCTGGGGAGGTTGGGCTTGAACCAGGTCCTCAGGAGTGGCAGGTATGGGGACCTGGGAGACGGCACCGTTGCCAGGGAGACGCTGGGGGAAGACAGGTGGGGATACACGGGAGCAGAGGCTGCACCCACGCTGGGGAACTCTCGAGGAAATGAGGCTGTGCCCAGGCAGCCGCCCTGAAGGCACTGGTTGCTGAAAGCTTTCTGAACCTGCCTGTGAGTGCTGAGGAGCTGGCCTTTGGCCTTGGCAGGAGCGCACGCTGCTTCTGCACAACAGAGAGAAGGTTGTCTGGGACAGGTGCCTCCGACTGGACTGTCACATGGTGCAGACATCTCCCTTTCCTTAACCTTTCTCCCCAACCCCACGCCTTAGGCCCCCGGCCTGCCATGGGAGTTCACTGGTCCTCTCCTCTCCAGGCATGGCGCCTGCCTACACCCTTTCTTCCTCTGCCTCACCTTATCGGCTCAGCGGGATATTGTCCTACTCAAGACACTATTTCCGTACCACTCAGCCTCCCGGCATTTCCCTGCCCCTCTCCCAAGTCCAGCTTCCTCTGCTGCCCCTCGCAGGAGGCTTGGTGGCCCCATTGATGTGGTCTCTGATGCGTCCTCACTGCACGTTTCCCATCTGTGGGCAGGAAGAATGGGAGCGTGAGCTGGGGCTGGTGGGAGGGGTGTCAGGACCTCTCCCACCCCACAAGTGGCCTGGACTTGAGCGTGGCACCCCTCTCCATGCACCATGCTGGGGGGAACCCCTCGGGCTCTGTGGGGTGGTTCCTCCTGATCCTCCTGGTGCAGAGGTGAGGATGTTCTAGCCAGAGACAGTGACTTCACAGAGGCCACACAGCTCAAAATTGTATGGCCACTACGTTCATAAATGCACTGGCTTCTGCCTGAAGCCCTACCCAACCCCCCACCCGCAGTTCAGCCAAACCTGGCTGAAGACCTCCTCTTGTTCTAGAAATATCATGGGTTGACGATGTCTCCCAGCATAAGATTTGGAGCCAGGTAGGGTTGGTTTCCAGTTCTCAGCGACTTAACAGTTAATGTCCATGGCCCCGGTGCCAGAGCTGTGCTCACACAGCAGGAAATAACACACAGCGTGTTCAGAATGGGGGCTGAGGCTTTGCTGCCCAGTCCTGTGAGTCCGGAGCAAAAAACCAGGATTAAGCAGTCCAGGTTTTAATGTGGTGTTTCTAAGGTTTATACATTGCCTGATCTCACGTCATGCCAGCAGTACAGACAGCGAGCCCCTGACCCGCAGACATCCACGTTGGAGCTGTCACGGGTGTCCCACGTAAGATTCGCTCTGTTGACATTGGGACAGGTCCGGCTGAGGAACGGTTCTCCAGGAACAGAACCCGTTCCTAAGTCAGGACTTACTGTATATCATTCCAGATCTTCTGTTTTGAAAATGGAATAGAATAATCAGGTGAAATAATTTGTTTCCATACAGTGATACTGATCTTCTTTCAGACTACAAGGAAAGGGTTGTGGATCACTGGCCATTAAAGTATATGTGTAACTCAGTCCCTGCCTTAGAAGCTAAAACGCTAATTATGAGAGAAAATAAGACAAAGAAAACCACTGTCCCAGACCCCGTGTAGGAGCCTCCTAGACATAAACGGTCAGATGGAGAGGAGGGAGGTGGCCTCTGGGCCGGCTGCAGAGCCTCGAGGAGAGGCGGGTGTGTCTGCGGTGTTCAGAGGCGGGGGGCTTCAGGAACCAGGTTGGCCCATTGGGAGCAACTGAGGAACCTGGGTGGTGGGCGCTGTGCCTCGTGGACAGGACGGGGTTGAACGGCAGGAACTAGAGTGGGTGGAGCTCACGGGTCCTTCTCTGCAGTCCCAACCAGGTCGCGGAGAAGGTGGCCTCCAGGATCGCCGAGGGCTTCATCGATACCGTGCTCATCATGGTAAGCCACAGCTTGTGCTCATGAGTCTTCGGGAAGCCACTGCCCCTGTCTCACATCTGCACACCTGAGGGCATCAGGTCTGTGGTCTGGGTACCACTGCAGTCACAGGTGCAGGGCTATGGGGTGACTCCCGACGTCAGTCCTCACGGCAGGTCCCCATGCCAGCAGCCAGGCCCTCATGCGGGAACCTGTCAGAAATGCAGATGCAGCTGAGCGTGGTGGCGCATGCCTGTCATCCCAGCTCTTGGGAGGCTGAGGCAGGAGGAGTGCCACACATTTGAGGCCAGCCAGACTATATAGTGAGTTCAAGGCCAGCCTGAACTGTAGTTCTTGCTATGTATAGGGAAACCCTGTCCCCCCACAAAAAAAGAAGAGAAGAAATGCAGATTCTGAGGCGCAGACAGACGGGCTGAGTGGGAAGCGCTGGGGCTGGGGCTGGGGCTGGGGCTCGCTCTGTCTGAGGAGAATGTGCCTCCCAAACAATGGTGCTGCCGCACAGCCCCGAGAAGGGCGGAAGGGGCCCTGCTCCGCTCCGAGTGAGGGGGCGTGATGCCGAGAACCTCCATGCGCTTGGCGTCAGCCTGCGTAGCACCCCGCCTCAGGCTGCCCCTGCTGCATTCGCGCCGGCGTGCAGCGCAGGAAGAGCCAGCTGCCGCCTTCCTGTCCACGCCTGCCCCTCTGCTCGCTTAGGTGGACAACACCAAGTTCACCATGGACTGTGGCACGCCGACGATCCACGTGTACGAGCACCACGAGAACAGGTGGCGGTGCCGAGACCCGCACCAGTGAGTCGTCCCACGCTTGCGCCCCGAGTCCTGGGGGGGCTGGGGCTTCCACGTGGTGGGGCCGCCGGGGCGGTGCCGCAGGTCTCCCCGGGCTCGGCTCAAGATGGCCGTGCCTCAGCCACCCAGCGGCAGCCTCCCACAAGCCCTGGCAGGCGGCCCGTGACCGCCGAGTGCACAGGCCCGTTTCCTACCCCTGCCCGACCTTTAGCGGGCAGTGTGTGCACCTGGCCTCTGGGCACGGGGGACACTGTTCTGTGGGAAAGGCTGACCCGTCCGTGTCTGACCCGCAGTGACTACTGTGAGGACTGGCCGGAGGCACAGAGGATCTCAGCATCACTGCTGGACAGCCGGTCCTACGAGACGCTGGTGGATTTCGACAACCACCTGGACGACATTCGAAACGACTGGACAAACCCCGAGATCAACAAGGCCGTCCTGCACCTGTGCTAGGCGGGACCCTGGGGCACTCCTGGGCGTTGCCACATCTTGGAGAGGAAGCCTGTTTTCCCGTGGAGTGCGAGCGGCATAGCCTGGTGCAGAGCCGCAGTGGCCTGTGCCGGGGCAGAGCAGGGCACCCACGCCGTGCTGCCACGCAGGGCCGAGGAGGAAGCGCACGGCCACCGTGGGGCTGTCGTGCAGTGGTGTGTTGCTCTCAGCTTCCAAATCAGTGCTGTCTCTGCTTGTCCGAGATTGTTCCTATTAAAGTTTTAACCTTTTATAATCTGGAGAGATACTTTTTAAGGCTTATGAACTATTAAAAACAAAGCCCACATCTTATATGCAGTGCGTGTGTGTTTATCCTGGCTGAGTCAGGGCAGACTCGGAGTGCTGGTGCCAACAGTGCCCAGCGGTGCTCAGGGAGCGGGCGCGGGTGTGGGGAGCAGGCTGAGCCCCGTGGGAATAGCTGATGCTGCTGTTGCCTGAGAAACCTGCACTGCTACGGGCAAAACCGACACTGTTGTGTCGGCCGGGCCAGGAGCACAGAGCAGTGCCGCTCAGCCTGAAGGCCGCACCGCGCCAGGCTTGGTTTGCAGTAACCACGGCAGTCCTGACTCCAGTGCCCTGCCTGGCCAGCCGGGTGGTTCTGACCTCAGGCTTTCACTAAAGAGCAGCCGGAAGCTTAGACGCCGTTCTGCACAGAGCAGTGTCGGTTTTTATGCCTGGAACATTTGGCCCAGTGTCCCTATCCAGTTTTAGGAAATTGATAAGGAAACGTTTTGGTGCCACTACATTTTCCCCTCCTTGTAGACAGTGGGCTCATGTGAGCCGGGCAGGGAGGCTGCCTTCCAAGGACAGAAGCTGGTGCCTGAGGCAGCAGGGCCAGCAGCACCGGGGGCCCAGTGCACAGAGGCTGGCTGTACACGGGAGGGCCGGACTCCACCAGTGCGTGTCTTGCCGCACCCCTGTCCTCGCCGGCACCTTGCTTCCCAGGAGCTCCGGCCACGCACCAGGTTGGATTTAGGCCTGAGCCTAAACGTTGGTTCCCTGACTGGCTGGGTCAGGCTTAGACTGGCACAGGGAAGCATTGTAAATACTCAGAAGGGAAGTGCACGTTTGTGAAAAAGTAGACAGGGCATACGTGCCCACTCCTGTGTTCCTTGTGAGAATAGCAAAAGCCCTGTGCGGGGCTCCCCAGCTTCACCGTATAGTAGCCTGCCTGTGCAGGGCCTGAGAACAGGCCTCCTCCTCCCCAGGGTCCAAGAACAGGCCTCTTCCACAGCCACTGAACTGTGTGCGCTGCCTTTCACAGGAGAAAGGAAGGAGCAGCACTGCTGGGTGCATGATTCAGAGATCTGCGCAGCACAAAGCTCTCCACTAACTTAAGTCTGAGCAGCGGCCCCTGTGGCCAAGTGTACTTGGAGCTATATGGTGTGGCCTCCAGCCATCTGGGCAAGGGCTCTGCCCTGAGCTGCCCCAGAGCCCCCGACTTTTATCTCTATCCATTAAAAGATGAGTAGGACAAATTACTAGTTTATCTAAAAATGTCATTTTCCTGTACATTTTAGAGAGCTAGAAGAAAGTATTTCAAAAGTTTTTACCATAAAAAGAAGCTAAACGAGGCCGGGGATACAGCTCGGTGGCACAGCGCCTGCCTGGCAAGCACGAGGTCCTGAGTTCAATTCCCGGTACCAAAAAGGAAAAAAAAAAAAAAAAAAAAAAGACACTAAATGGCTCAGCACACACCCAGCGCTTGGAAAGCTGAGGCGAGAGGATCGTGCGTTCAAAGCCAGCCTGCACTGTGTAGTGAGACCCTGGAACCCCCCACCCAGAAAAAGGTTGGTGTTCGAGGAGATACGGTTAACTTGATTTAAACATGACAGTACATACCCCATTAATATGTGCAACTTCTGTTTTTATATACCAATTAAATTTTAACTTGCTCATTTTCCATTTCTTATCATGGTGGCCTGTAAGAATTAAGGCTATTAAACAAAAATAGCCAGCAACTTCGTAACACAAAGAAAGGTGCTTACTAAGGGAAAGTTGACATTGCTAATTCTAATGAAATTTGATTGCTTTACAACAGCAAACAACTTAAAAATCTTAAGTAATTCAATTTTTCAAGTCAATTTTCCACAGATCTGGTTTTTTACACCTCCTCTGTAAAAAGTCCTCATCTAATTAGCTTTGATTTATTTTAATAGCTTTTCTGATGTCTCAGGAAGCCTATTATTTGTGCATATTGTGTTTCTCAGCTTTTCACACCTCCTTTTTTTCTTTTTGCTTCAAAAGATGAGTGTGTTGGTGACGTGGCTCTGTGGCACTACGTCTGCCGCATCCCCGTAGCGCTTTTCTGCCGCCTGCTCTGCAGAAGCAAAGACACCACAGCGTCTCCTGCCCTGCGTGCATTTCTAGCGATTGTAGTAAAGAGAACTGGGTCTAAAAATAGACTTCTGCTTTACTGACTGACAGCCCTTGAGGCTTTCCCTCACTGCTCAGTTCACCTTAAGCACTGGACTTATAAATAAAAAGTCGGGCAGGAAGTGTCTAGGTCGCCCTACCAACTCTCAGGTGTGTTAGTCAGACTTCGCATCCACTCATCTCAGAATTCAGGGTGTCTTAGTTATTTCTCTCATTGCTGAGACAGAATACCCGACACCCAGAGTTAAAGGAGGAAAGGTTTATTTAGCTCACAGTTTGTAGAGGTTTTATTCCATAATCGGTTGACTCCAAGGCAGGGTGGTGTGGGAGAGGGCATCGCAGAGGAGAGATAGTCCATGGCGGGCAGGAGTAGCAAAGCAACACAGTGGCAAAGAACCAAGTCCAAGTGACAACTGCAGCTTCTTTCTGCCCCTTTTATACTCTATCTAGGCTACTGGGCTCAAGGTGGGTGCCAAACCAATCAGTGGACTGATTTACTAATCATACACCCTTAGTCCCAGCGTCATACACTCGACCCAGCCACCTCTGCAAACCCCACCCATGATCAATGAGGACATCTAGACACAAGCCATAACAAGGGTTAACAGCTTTTTTTCCCTCTTTTTGCAGTGCTTGGGATGGAACCTAGGGCCTCATGTATACTAGGCAGGTGCCATCCTGCTAAGCTGCACCCCAGCCCCGTGAATACTTTTGTCCTAAAATTAACTTTGGACTTCTGAAAACACTCCCAGTATCTTTGGATGGGATGCAGAATGCCATGGAGCCTGCTGTTCCTTGTGGCCAAGAGCCTTTCTTCCCCGGAGGGCTGACTTCTCAGGGGAGACGCTTCCTGTCTGGTCTCTGAAATGCTGCAATCAGATAAGTGATCTGAAGGTATTTGTCCGGAATAAGAGACCTAGTGCACCTTCAGGACAGCCAAGAACTGTGTTCTCCTCAGTCTTTTGCTGTCAGTATAGCGTGACAAGCCCCAGCAGAGCTCCACTGGACCTGGACTAGGGGTCCCCTTCACTGGGACGCGTGTGATCGCAAGCAGAACGGCATGCTGTGCTCAGTACTGAAAAGCTCAGACACCTCAGCACGCCTGTTGTGAGTGGTAGTTCAGAATATTTGTGAAGCTCAGGGCAAGGCCTGTGGCTCCTGGAGCCCACAGTAGTGAGGGTTGGCGCTCGGCAGGGCAAGCCAGTGCCAGGCCTGCTCCAGGGCGCCGAGAACTCCAGAGTTACTCCCGCCCCTGTCTCCACTGAGAGGAGCTGGGTGCTGCTCGGAGCCAGCCCTTGGTGTGGAGGGTCAACTCTGTGTGCCCTGGTGCTGCCGCTCCTGGAGGGCCCCTGTGCTGGTCTCAGGTGCTGGCCCAGCAGCGAGTCCACGGCACTGGCTCTCACATCCTCGTTCAGGTGCAAGCCCCAGATCCGCCACACTCTGGTTCCGCCCGGGCAAGTTACCTCTCATGTCTCCTCTGGAAAGTGGCAGGGATGACACCCTTGCAGGGACACATTCAAGAGCAGCAGGAGGCACACAGGTGCTAGCACTGATGGTTAGGGCTCCATCCCCAGAAAGTTCATTCTAGAACATTCCACCAGCCACCCTGAGCTGGGAGGACGCCATCCCTGGACAGGTGAGTGAGTGGAGAAGGCAGCCACTTTCATGTCCTCTGCCTCTATCTGATGTGCCTTCCTTCTCCTTCCCGACAGGAAAGCCAGGCCCAGACACACCGTGCAGTGGGCAGCCAGGGCAAGGGAGAGGGCGGCAAGGAGGAGAAAGGGACCGCGGTCCGCCCGGCCCGGCACTGCCCCCAGCCTGCTCCAGCGTGCTCGCCGCCTCCTTACAGGCTCAGCACGGAGTCCATGAGGAGCTGACAGCCCACACCCCCATCTCTCGCCCTCCCAAGAGACCAGCGTGAGCGGGAAAGGAAGGAGTCGGCCTGGGAGCGCACAGACCAGGTCTCACCCCAGGGAGCAATGCAGAGCCGAGCGGGGTGGTGGGAAACAGTGTTTCATGTGTCTTCCTGTCTCCCGTGGCATCCTGCTTGTAAGGAGATCCAGTCGTTACTTTTTCTTAGTATAAGTTCTCGCCAAATTACCCAGCCTGGCCTCAAACTTGGAATCCTCCTGCCTCAGCCTCACTTTTATCTTTGCAAGTTTAGTCTGGAATGTGTTGTGTACTTTTCACTCCAAGAGGCAGCTTTGTAGCACAGTGTCACGCGCCTCGAGGGCCTCATCCTGCCCCTGTGTACGGAGGACGTGGCCCCAGAGACTCCTATCGATCTCTGTTTCCTGGAAAATAGCTTACGTCTGTCACAAAGAGGATGTCTTATTGGTTTTTAAATTTAATCAAAAAAGAGATGTAAAGTGAAAAAGCAAAATCATCGGAAATTCTCCAGTTTGCTGAATGTTCTTATAATCATCTCCAAAATTGTAAGAGTCTTTGTTGAGAGAAAGGTATCGGGAGCAACTTCATTTAATGTGATTGCTAATTGCTGCACTATTTAGACACTTAGTTTCCCATTCCATCAGTGTGCTGGGTTCTCGGCTTCACCCTCTCAGACAAAGGAGGCAGAGGCTCGTTGTTTCTTTCCTGTGAAACCTGACCCGAAGCCCGGCACCTGCGGGAAAGGCTTCGAGTCCTGAGTGTGGAGCCTGCGGACCCTCGCAGCCAGCACGCCCAGAGCGCCGGCCAGGTAGGGACAGCACCCAGCACGCGGCTCCCGCCCGCCGCCGGCCTGGGGCAGACCCAGCCTGTCCTGAGCGCAGCCTTCAATGCACCCCGCCCGCGCCTTCTGCCCCCACTTTGCCCAGCCCGCGAAGGTGAACAGCGGGTTACCTCCGGATTTTGGCCACTGCCGATATTGCTACAGTTATCGTTCTTCTTGCTCCCTAATGCAGTACAAGAATTGA